GGAGGCTTCTATCTAAGGCTCGCAGTTCAAAGCCAGCCCAGGAAAGAAAGTCCATGAGACTCTTATCTCCAATAAACCACAAGAAAACTGGAAGTGGAGCTATGGCTCAAGTAGTAGAGTGCTTGCTTTGAGCTGAAGAACAGAGGGACAAAGCCCAGGCCCCACGACCAAAAAAAAAAAAAAGATTCTTATACTTGGAAGTAAAGCTGTGGCTCAAGTGATAGAGTGAGTATCCACCTTGAGTGAAAAAGATTTTTTTGAATTTCTAATTTTTGTAATTATCTTTAAAAGTTGTACAAAGAAGTTGCTTTTTAATAAAGCATTTCATGAATATCATATCTGGATTAATGTTACCCTTTTCAACATTCTCATCCATCTCTCACCTACCTAACCCTTTCCCTCATTCTTTATTTTGTAGGATATACATTAGATTCTTTATTGCATTCTCCCTCTCTCTTCTTCATCTGTAAATTCTTTTCCCCTTCACACCTACTACACACCTTTCTTGTGCCTGCTTCCTGGTGTTTTATTTTGCTGAACTCACTTTGGCTTTCTAAGGAATTACACTATTTGAGGTTTCCCTTGAATCTACCATATATCAGTTAATATATTTGTGTACACTTGCATACCACCCAATGTATTTACTTGTAAGTTCATAACCTAAATCTAGCTTCAATGTATAAGGGAAAACATGGATCCTTTGTCTCTCTGGGCCTGACTTATTTCAGTTAATTATTTCCAGGTCCTTCCATTTTTTAACAAATATTACAATATCATTCTTTCTAATGGGTGGGTAAAATTCATATATATATATATATATAGAGAGAGAGAGAGAGAGAGAGAGAGAGATCTTATATTTTCTTGATCCACTCATTCATTGAGGAGAATCTGGGGTGATTCCATATCTTGACTACAGTGAATAGTTCTGCAATAAACATGTTTGTTCTTGTGGCTTTACTGTATCGTGGTTTGCAATCTTTTGGGTAAATGCCTAGGAGTGGAATTGCTGGATCACAGAGTAAATATATATACATATATATATATATATTATATATATAAATGTATATTATATATTTTTGGGGGGGGGTTGTCAATCATCGGCTTGAATTCAGGGCCTGGGCACTATCCCTGAGCTTTTTTGCTCGAGGCTAGTGCTCTACAACTTGAACCAAAGCACCACTTCCAGTTTTCTGGTGGTTAATTGGAGATAAGAGTATCACAGACTTTCCTGCCAGGGCTGGCTTTGAATCCTGATCCTCAGCTCTCAGCCTCCTGAGTAGCTAGGATTCCAGACTTGAGCTGTCAGACGCACAGACTCACGTGACCCTGTCTAAGGATTTGTGTGCTGTGAGCTTTCTATTTGCTGGTGAACGAGGAGAACGCTCCGACATAACATTGTCAAAAGGTCAGGGTACCCAGCTGCAGCCTCCAGGATAGAATGAGGAAAGTTCTTTCTCTATCTGGGCGAAGGTCTGGATGCCTGGCCGTGACCTTGTTAGAGGACATGGGGAAAGTGCCCAAGTAATTAATTCTGTAGAATGATGCCTCGTTATCCCCTCTTGCACTTTGCTTGCTCTTTATAATCACATGGAACTGCTTCACCTTTGATGACAACAATTAAATCTTCCTGCTCACTGACTAAAGGTGGTTAACTCTCATTGTCTGGATCCCTGGAAAACTGTTTAAGGTTAACTTTCTGTCTCATGTGACTGCCCCATGACTGAAGATTCATTTGCTATGCCCCTATGCTACATATAACCATACAATGTTTTAATAAACTTTGTCCATACCCTCATGGTATGGTCAACTTTCTGCCTACCAGGTATTGTGTTCCCAGCTCTCACTGTGTCATCAGCAACAGTGGGCCACTGTTTAATTTTTTGAGGAACCTCTCCACTGCTTTCTATGATGGTTGAGCAAGTTCACATTCCCATCAACATTTATGAGGGTTCCCTTTTGGCTGCATCCTCACCAGCATTTGTTATTAGGCCTGAAGACCAATGGGACAGAAGACCCAAAATAAACATACAGACATATAGCCATTTAATATTTCATAAGGGAGCCAAAAACAGAGGCTGGAAGAAAGCAAAACTAGACATCTACATGTAGAAAACAAACCAAATCCTTACATATCACCTTGCACAATCATCAATTCAAATGGATTATTAAAGATGTCAGTGTAAGATCTTAAGCCATTAAACTATTACAGGAAAGAGCAGGGGAAACATTAGGGCTGCAGGGCACTTTCTGAGTAAAGTTGCGGCTGCAACTTTCTGAGTAAAGATCCAGAAAATTGAAGAAAAACTTGATAAACGGGACTACATCAAACTAAAAAGTTTCTACATGGCAAAGAAGAGAGCCAATAAACCAAAAAGCCTATGGAACTGAAGATTTGGGCCAGCTATACTAATCAGACAATGGCTTACTACCCATGATATACAGAGAACTTAAAAAAACTTAAACTCTCAAAAAGCCAACAATCTAAAGGGGAAAAGCAAAAGAAGGGATGACATCATCCAAAAAAAAAAGAAGAAAAAAGAAATGTACTCATTACATGACTTATGAAATGGTAACCCCTCTGCACAACATGTTAGCAACACTAAAAAAATTTTTTTTAATTAATAAACGGGCTAATAAGCTAAAGAATCTTCTCAGAAGAAGTAGTAATAATGGCCAATCACATATGAAGAAATACTCAATACCTCTGGCCATAAAGGAAACACAAATCAAAACAACTGAGATTTTGCCTCACCTCAGTTAGAATGGCAATATCAAAAAAAAGTTTCTTAAAGTTGGAAACATGAAATGCCAGTTACTAAATAAACACTGCACTCCAGATAGTATGCTACATACTTCTATACACATTATTCATCTGTATAAAATGTATCCCTACATTCAACTCTGAAGCTTTTTACTTTCATTTAATAGAAACTTGTCCCCTAGTAGACTGAGACCATTGCTCCTAACAAAATGCCCTATAGTCTGTTTTATTTGAAAAATGAAGACAAATAATGCCAAGTATTCCATTGTTACTAAAAGAATAAGGATTAGACCCACAGACCATCTCATCAAACAAGATAAACAATGATAAAGATACAAAAGTTCCAAAAGACACCAGTGGAAGAGAGGGATTATATGCCTTAATTACATAAGATCCTACAGTAATAACTGTTAACTTTTATTCATCGGTACTATATGTAGAGCATTTTGGCTACATTATTGAATTTAATCCTCATGATCAAGAAGCTAAATGAGGTTAGTAGTCTTACCTTTAGGCTAAGAGAGAAATTTTAGATGGTTTGTAAGCAGGTTTAAAACAATTGTACATCTCTTGAAATTACACATACAAGTATAACATTTTCGCCATAATCTTAAAACCATATATCCCGGGCTGGGAAGGTAGCTCAGAGGTAGAGTGCATGCCTTACAAGCATGAGGCCCTGGGTTCGATTCCTCAGCACCACACAAACAGAAAAAGCCGGAAGTGGTACTGTGGCTCCAGTGGTAGAGCGCTAGCCTTGAGCTGAAGAGCTGAGGGACAGCGTCCAGACCCAGAGTTCAGGCCCCATGACCGGAAAAAAAAAAAAAAAAAACAGCCATATATCCCTAGAACAAAGAAAAGTATTGATACATCTAACAGTACCAAGAAGAAATGAGAAATCTGTTTTTACAATGTGATAATTATTATGTGAATCCAGTGATTTTGTAATGTATTAATTACAAAAATATCCTAAAATGCTGTCATATTATTCAGGTGTATTTATAACACTGAATCATCCATCATTTAAACACACTAGTACAGGAAATCCACGAGCCACAAAAACTAGAAATACTGGAGGATTTTAAACAGCCTTAGAAGAATCAAACACTTAAAATGCTTAACAGTAATAGCATTCTGCTGAAAATGTTCTCAAAGTTTGTTTTAAGTGAGTACAGTTTAATATTTCCATGTTTTCTTGTCCTCCAAATAAATGTGTATATGGAATTTGTGGCACACAAATCAAATGAAGCATTTCAAAAATTCTGTATGAATTTATAAGACTTCCATTTTAATCTTGAAAAAATTAAGTTTTAGATCTGTAGATTTTTATATACAAAATCTCCAAGCACTAATTGCTCATACCTCTAATCCTATTCAGGAAGCTGGGATCTAAGAATCACAGTTCAAGACTACCCCTGGGAGGGATATCATCTCCATTTAAGCACCATAAAGGCAGAAGTGGAGCTGTGGCTTCAGAGGTAAAGCACTAGCCTTAAGCAAACTACTCAGGGACAGCACCCATGCCCTGAGTTCAAGCCCCGTGTCCAACAGAAAAAAAAAATCAATTGTAAGGAAAAAAATTTGATATCCTAATAAAAAATTGAAGATTAAACACACTCACAAATTGAATGGAAAAAGAAATGGAAGAGAAGGCCTACTGCCATTTGGCTTACATTAAAATCATGAAAATGAAAGAAAAAGGAGGGAAAAAGAACAAGAGAAAGACTAATTTAGCCAGTCAAAAACACTTTTTAGTCCTTAAAAAAAAATCCTAATGTATACACATACTTCTCTTACTCAAATTTTGAGAAGTAAATGTCACATTATTGAATAAAAGGAGAATGAAGGGGAAATAAGTGAACATTTCATCCAACAAGTTCAAGATACATAGTTAAGTATACAAATGCTTTAATTTCTAAATGTAAATATTAAATTAAAGCCCTCTGTTTGTATGATGTTTTCATGTCTCTTGAATTGTCACAATCACCTTGAGTAATTCACTGGTAATTTGTTAAATGTACTTGTTAAATACGGCTGCATCAATAAGCTGAAAGAGGTCAATACAGGCTATTTTTCACAGTGATCCTGCTTAATAAAAATAAATTTCTTCTGAGTTCTGTCAAGAAATAAAGATTTCTTTTACTTATATTTTTCTACTGTTAACAACTGAAGGAGAATGAATTAGCTGAACAAGCATGTAACATCCAAGCAATTAAAAATTGAATTGGAAACGACCTACCCCTTCTTGCTTAGTGAAGATATTAAGGCAATCACTCAAAGCTACACAAGTCTCTCTAGAAGCTTCAGAGACAACTTCAACTTTCTGAAGAAATGATGGAAGCATTTCTATAAATAAGAACAGAACATAAATGAGTGGGATTTTAATAAATTTTAAAGACCGTAAGAACATTTTAATCATTTATATTTATATATCTATGTTTGTGTATGTATGTATTTATGTGGTAGGGAGATTTGAACTTCAGAGTCTTACAGTCTCAAAAAAGGTGCTGTACACTATTTACCATAGCTAAGGTATGGAACCAATCTAGATGCCCCTCAGTAGATGAATGGATCAAGAAAATGTGGTATATATACACAATGGAATTCTATGCCGCCATCAGAAAGAATAACATTGCCCCATTTGTTAGGAAATGGAAAAACTTGGAAAAAATTATATTAAGTGAAGTAAGCCAGGACCAAAGAAACATAGGTCCCATGGTTTCCCTTATTTGCAATATCTAGTATATCTATGAGTCAAGCGGAAAAGGTCAGATAAACCCTTAGATATGTATCTTAATGTTTTTTTTCTTTCATGCATGTGTTTCTAATGCATTTATAAGATTATCTCTTTGTTGCTTGGTATGTCCCTCCCCCACAGTATAACCCCTGCTTTCACTATATTTGATGTCAGTATAACTTGAGGAGGAGATGGGGAAAAACCAGTTGTTTAAAGATACAGGTGGACCTGTTGCAACAATGAGAAGTACAAGTTGTCATGTCCAAAATGAGCTTTACAACGTCAGTGTGTGGGGGGGGGGGGAAGGGGGGGGAAGGAGAAAGATTGGGATTGGGGGGGAGGGGGGAGGCTGGGAAGGGATGTGAAGGGTAAACAAAAGGAGGAGGCTGCAATGCTTGGTAAGAAATGTACGCATTATCCTGCCCATGTAATTGTAACTCCTCTGTACAGTATCTTCACAAATAAAATAAAATAAAAATTTTTTTTAAAAAAAGGTGCTGTAACACTTGAGCTTTAATCCCAGGCCTAATATAATATTTTTGGGCGGTTGTGGGACTTGAACTCTGGCCCTGGGCACTATCCCTCAACTCTTCAGCTCAAGGCAGTGCTCTACCACTTGAGCCACAGTGCCACTTCCAGTTTTCTGTTGGTTTATTGGAGATAAGAGTCTCAAGCCTTGCGCCCATGGCTCACACCTGTAATCCTAGCTACTCAGGAGGATGAGATTTGATAAGGGTTCAAAGTCAGCGGGGCAGGAATGTCTGTGAGACTCTTATCTCCAATTAACCATGAGAAAACTGGAAGTGGCACTGTGGCTCAAGTGGTATAGCACTTGCCTTGAGCTGAAGAGCTCAGGGACAGCGCCCAGGCCCAGAGTTCAAGACCCACAACTGACAAAAAAAAAAAAAAGTCTCATGGACTATCCTGCCTGAGCTGGCTTTTTAAACACTGATTCTCAGTAGCTAGGATTACAGGCGTGAGCCACTGGAACTCAGCCAAAAAACTATTTTTTTATATCAACTTCATGCTGTCTCAAGCAAAGGATATAAATAGCATGCTTTTTCAGAAGCATAATCAGGGCACAAGAGGAGGTACAAAGGATGAAGCTTGTTCTTACAACACATTACATCCTACAGAGCTAAGACTAAAAGCAGTTTGTAACAATCGTCATGTTTGAAAAAAGCAGTTAAGATTGACAGTACTACTTAAAAGACATTAACAATTCCTTTCTTGATGTTCTATACTACATAAGTAAACTTATTCAAAAGCAAACTGCTAAAAGGAGAAAAAAAATTCCAAAGTTGTTGTGGGACTAACATATCTGAAAGAGGCATTAATTCAACTTTCTCTAGTTTTTATTTTGACATATGTAGTTCTTTTCACTTTCAAAACTGCATCCTTGTGGAGGCCCAAAGAACAAAGAAAAGTCAGTATCCATAACTGCTCCCTCAAATCAAAGTCTTAAGCTATTTACCCATTAAAAACAAAAAACAGTTTACATTCCCACCAACAGTGTAGTATCATTCCCTTTTGGCCACATCCCTGCCAGCATTGTTATTGTAAGTTTTCTTGATAATGGCCATTCTAACTGGGGTGAAGTGGAAGATCTCAATGTTGTTTTGATTTGCCTTTATGGCCAGCCATTTTTCATTTGTCTATGGGCCAGTCTTATTTCTTCTTCAGAGATGTCTCTCCTTAAGTCTTTAGCCCACTTATTGATAGGATTGTTAAGAATTTAGTTTTGCTTTTGTTTTTGCAGGGAGGGGGTTAGTTTTTTGAGCTCCAAGTATATTTTGGATATGAGGCCCTTGTCTGACGTATAGGTAGTAAAGATCTTCTCCCAATCTGTGGGCTTTCTATTTATCCTGCTAGCTGTATCCTTTGCCATGCAGAAACTCTTCAGTTTAATACAATCCCATTTATCAACCCATTCTTTGATCTGTTGTGTTTCTAGATCTTTATTTAGGAAGTTTCAACCTATGCCAAGGAGCCCTAGTGTTTCTCCTATTCCTTCCTGCAGTATTTTCAGGGTATATGGTCTTACATGGAAGTCTTTGATCCATTTGAAATTGATTTTTGTGCAGGGTGATATATATAAAGATCTAACTTCAGTTTTCTACACGAGTATAGCCAATTCTGCCAGCACCATTGAAGAGGCTGTCTTTCTGTTTTTGGCTCCCTTATTAAAGATTAGGTGGCTATAGGTCTGTGGGTTTATTTCTGGGTCTTCAATTCTAGTCCACTGGTCTTCAAGCCTGTTCTTGTGCCAGTACCAAGCTGTCTTTGTAATAGTTTGAAGTTTGGTACTGTATTGTTATACTTCCATCACTGTTCTTCCTGATAAGAATTGATTTTACTATTTGGTGTCTTCTATTATTTCATATGAATGTTTGGATTGCTTCTTCTACATCACTGAAGAATGCTGTTGGTATATTGATGGATATTGAATTGAATTTGTAGATAGCTTTGGCAGTATTGCCATTCTCACCATGCTAATCATCCCAATCCAGGAGCATGGGAGGTTTTCCACTTCCTTAAATCTGCTTTGATTTCCTATTTCAAGTTTTTAAAGTTTTCACCATACAGGCCCTTCACATCTTTTGTTAAATTAATTCCTAGTAATTTTTTGAGGCTATTACAAAAGGACTTAATTTCCTGATTTCAGCCTGACTCTTCTCATTATTAACATACAGAAAAGCTATTGATTTTTGTGGGTTAATTTTATACCCTGCTACTTTGCCAAAGTTTCAGAACAACTCAAGTATCTTGGTAGAGGAATGTATGAGGTTCTTTAAATATAGGACCATGTCATCTGCTAAGAGGGAGAGTTTTACTTCTTTCCCTATTTGGAAGCAGTATGGACATTCCTCAAAAAACTAAATATAGACCTTCCCTATGATCCAGCAATCCCACTCCTGGGCATTTATCCAAATGACCAGCCCATAGTAATGCAACCAGCACAACTATGTTTGCTGCAGTATTGTTTACCATAGCTAAGATATGGAATCAACACAAATGCCCCTTGGTGGATGAATGGATCAAGAAAATGTGGTATATATACACAATGGAATTCTGTGCTTCCACCAGAAAGAATGACATTGCCCCATTCATAAGGAAATGGAAAGACTTGGAAAAAATTATAAGTAAAAAATGATAAGTAATCCAGACCCAAAGAAACATAGGCTGCATGGTTTCCCTCATTTGTAATAACTTGAATATGACTACAAATCTACAAGTTAATTCAATGATAGTAATAAAAAAAACAAATAATTACACTTGGACACGATATTTAAACAGCACCGTAAGCATTCCACAGTGAGAACAAAGGAGTATATTCTTAGGAGAGGATCACAATAGCTCAATAGCTATGTGTATTTGACCATCTAAAATGATACTGTCAGGCACCAGTGGCTCACGCCTGTAAGCCTAGCTACTAAGGAGGCTGAGATCTGAGGATCAGATCTCGAGCAGGAAAGTCCATGAGACTCTTATCTCCAATAACCACCAGAAAACCAGAAATGGCACTGTGACTCAAGTGGTAGAGCACTTGCCTTGAGCTAAAAAGCTCAGGGACAGCGCCCAGGCCCAGAGTTCAAGCCCTACCTGACAAAAAAAAAAAAAAAAAAGATGCTTATCGAAATAAACTCCAAGGTTTTTTATTGTATTATTTACAGTTATTTCTTTTTTTTCCTTTATTTTATTCCCTGTTGGCACTGTTTTTTATTTCTGTACCCTTTGTCTTGTATATAAGTTTATCTGATTTGGAGAAGGGAAGGGGAATCATAGAAATGGTGGGACTAAGGGAAAACCAATTCAACAGTGATGTTGGAAATGAACTGTACAACTTGGGGGGGGGAAGAAGTGGGGTGGGAGCGGGAGAAAATGTTCAAAAGAAAAGTACTCATTACCTTACTTTTGTAACTATAACCCCTCTATACATTACCTTTACAATAAAAAATAGGGAAAAAAATAAGGACAAGGCCATGATTGTTTGTGTAGGCCTGCAATCCCAGCTATTTTGGAGGCAAAAGTAGGATTGCTGCTTAAGGCCAACCCAGGCAAAAGTGGTATTAATTCAACTTGAAAAATAAATAAAGGAAAAAGGGCTGCGACTGATGGCTCATGATAAGAGTATCTAACAAGCACAAAGGCCTTGAGTTCAAATCCTTGTACTACCAAAACAGAACAAAACACAAAAATGAGGAAAATGTGAGATTCATAAAAGAGAAGTATATTTGATTTAATAGTTTAACTTTTTTGCTAATTCCACCTTAAGATCATTTAATTTGTCTCTCCATCAAAAATCTTGACATTCAAGAAAGCACTCCTAAACTGGGCGTCAGTGGCCCACACCGTTAATCCTAGCTACTCAGGAGGCTGAGATCTGAGGATCATAGTTCAAAGCCAGACCAGGCAGGAAAGTCCATGACACTCATCTCCAATAAACCACTAGAAAACTAGAAGTGACGCTGTGGCTCAAGTGGTAGAGCACTTGCCTTGAGCTTAAGAGCTGAGGGATAGCGCCCAGGCCCAGAGTTCAAGCTCCACGACCGCCCTCCCCAAATAAAACAAAAATCAAAACCAACAACAACAAAAAAGCGCTCCTCCA